TACAGTGCACCTTTCAGGAACATAATTTACTAATTGTGAAGGTTGTTGACAGCTTCTTTATCTGCATGTTCATAATTCAAATGAATGAGGTGATTGCACATGTCTGAGAGCAGTATGTCCTGCGGTTGCCCCTTGAAGCTTGATAGGATTTTGTCTTTTTTCTAACTGAAGCAGTAGTCAAGCCATAAAAAGGCTTCAAAAACATATGATCAGAATTCTCATCTTGATTTTCTTGAGTGTCAGAGTTGGTTTTGAATTGCTGAAAGTTTTAACATCCTAAACATGAAGTCCTTTATTCTGTTTTAGCATTCCTCAGAAACTATAAATTGCTATAAGTTGCCAGCAATTTATTTGGCCTTAAAATGCTTGAAATGTTCCATCTCCTGTGATTGTTTGATGTTAATTGCCCTCAAAAATGATCTTAGCAGAGCAGGCAAGGGAATGCTTATCTGGCAGTTCACTGGTAGCATTAAACATTTTAATAGTGCTAGATAAACACGACAGGCAATTATTGAATGTGGTTACACGTTGGGAAATAAAACGAAGAGATTGAAAATATAGTCTTCTGCTGTTTCATCTTTATCTTATTTCCTAATTTGTACCTTTTAAAAGTTTAAGGGATAGGTGTTTTTTTAAATGTTTTCTGAAATATACTATTGAAAAATCAGATATAAAACTGTTATACCTTCTTCCACAGTGATACGTGATGAATTAGTCTGAAGTCAAGCATCTTAAATCTTTCTAGAACAAAGGATCTAGGCTTTAAAAGGTTTCCACCCAAAACACTGAAGCTGGCTTATTTCCCCACCTCAAACCACAATTAAAAGCAACATAAAGTCAATCGCTGCAATTTATTAAAGGAATAACTACACTTTGAAAATGTTTAGTAAACAGAACTTTGAAGTTCCTTTCAGTTCTTTGTTAGACCTTCTTCTAGATCTTTATGAACACATCAGCTGCCTGCTTCCGAATCAAAAGTATATTCCAAACAGCACTGTCACCTTCTGCCTGTCTGTAACATTCCATGGCTGTTATAACCTCTACAGGCACCTTTGCTCTCCAGAAAAATATCTGGCAACTCATCCTTTGCAGTTGTCACTGTACTTTACTCTTTATATCAGATTTGTGATTGCATTTTTAAAATTGTCTCATCCTTGGATAATAATAAAGTGATATAAGGTGCATGCTCCCAATTCATGTTTCTCTCCTAGGAATACATACATCAAAGTGTATGCTTAACTTACCAAAATACATGTTCTGAAATACTCATAGCAGATGTATTAATATTAACTTCATTTTTAAAACTACCTCAAGGCTCACCAACCAATACAATGAATAAATAAGACATAACACATTCCCACAATAAAATATAGTCTCCAACAGCATACAGAAGATGAAAGAATCTCACAATGCAATATAGAGTAAAAAAAAAAAAACCTACAAATCAACATACATTATGGGTTAGATAGCTTTTTGCTGCTGTGAAAAAGTATGCCTAAAAACAGAGGAGGGGTTTAACTGGCTCACAGTTTTAGAGTTGATTTTAGAGTTGACTGTGCCACTTTAACTAGCTTTGTAGTTTCTTTCTGAGGATATGCAGAATGTGGTAGAAAGTTAAAGTGCATCTGTATTCACGTGATTGCACCCCCAGAGGGTGGAAGAGAGGCCAATACACTGAATACACCTTTGAACACCACACCTAGATCTCATCTCCTACTTTTCATCACTCCCCAGTAATGCTATAAAATTATGAATCCATTACTAGACTGGTTAATTGATGAAGTTAGAGCCCACCTGTTACAATCACTTCTGAATGGTTGACTCCACTAGCTGGGACCAATACTCAACACTTGAGGACATTCTGGGGACACTTAATGTCTAAACCACACACTGTATGAGTCAAATTACATGTAGTTTTTAAAAATAAAACTATTCTACACTGTAAGAAGTCAAGATAGCAAACACTATTAGCAATATTTTTGCTAAATAAAATATTATGTATTTGTTACTAACAATAAATTAATAAAATTATTAATTTTTATTTAGCAATAAGATACTATAATTAAGAAAAACAATCAAAAGAGGACTCTAGAGTCTTAGTTTCATGAATTTCTTTAATGAACTTGAACAAATACAAAAATATTGTTATATAGTGGATATTTGATAAAAAGTCTTAAACATATGAATATCTCTAACAGAATATAGGAGCTAATATACAGAAAGATATGCCATAAATCTGTACCTCCTCCAGATTTTATGGGTTTCACCAGCGTCTTACTGCAGGGTCCCTTGTGTCAGTCCTACACATGCAAATAAGTACAAGTAAAACTGATGATACCTGAGAGGGCTCAGTGGAATGTATCAGTGTCAATATCTCAGTTGAAAGTACATTCTGATTGTATTAAAGCAACTGGAGAAAGAATACAAAGAAATTATGCATATTACTTCTTACAATTACATATGCATCAATAATTATTTAAGAAAAATTTTCCAATATAATTTGGAAACAAGGCTATATATAAACCTGCCATTTTAATTTAAAGATGTTCTGATTTCTCTGTATTCGAAGATACCAATATTTATTGCTTACTTTTAAAATATAAAGTACCAAAAAAATATATAAAGTATAAAAGTAAAATATGAAATAAATTAATAAAATCAATTTAAGACCTGAGTACCACAAAAATATCAAGCAGCGTCATTAAAAGAAATTAAAGAGCCAAGCAGTGGTGGCACATGTCTTTAATGACAGCACTTAGGAAGCAGAGATGGGCTGATTTCTATGAGTTCAAAGCCAGCCTGGTCTACAGAGAGTTCCAGGACAATTACACAGAAAAGAACCTGTTGAAAGAAAGAAAGGAAGGAAGGAAGGAAGGAAGGAAGGAAGGAAGGAAGGAAGGAAGGAAG